TGCACGGTTAGTTTTCTTTAAGTTACTCATTTTATGTAGTTTCCCTTTTTAAAACTTAATGATATGTGACGGACTTTGGCTTTTTCTCTTCTCCAAAGATACTTGCTTTACTCATGCTTTGGTCACTGTTACAGGCAGCTTGTCTGTTGTCCATGGAGTCAGCAATCAAAACTGCTTCTCTCTCCTGCATCTTCTGGACAGTCACTCTAAAAGGCAGGTTTTTATGATGTCTGAAAAGGTAATCTCAGCATGGCAGCTCAGTGAAACTTATGCAATGCTAATATGGGGAATCCCAGTCTCCCACTATTACTACATTTCTTGCCCATGCAGATTTGGGATAGATGAATGAACCATTTCTTGTGGTTAATGCATGCAAGTTAGGTAATTTTAGTTTAACTATTGAAGTCACCCTATTGAAGTAGTACTTGCTTAATCCTCTAAAATTTAGACTAGTGGGGATGCTGATGTGACTGTGCAGCCTTTGATTAGGTATAATATACATGTATTGCTACAGATATTTTTCTTTGCCAGTAAAACAACAATGAATGAAAAAATATCCATTCAGTTCTTCAAGTACAGCTTGGCAATGTAAGTTACTACTTGAATTTGGTATTTGTTTACAGTGGATTAATCAGAGTGGGTTGAAAGCCCTTTTGTGTTGGTGAAATTTGGTATTAAAATTTTGAATTTGAATGAAAAATAATACTTTCAATCAGCTTTTTTTTTCTTCATGTTGAGAAGTAGATAGAAATTACTCTCTATTCACATATTACAATATATAGGTTTTCCTATAGATCTTGTGTACATGTGTGTTGTGAACTAGCTAGATGAGGTTCAGAAATAGGACATATAAAAGTTTTCAGCAGGGCCTGGTTACTCAGTTTACGTATGTCAATAGTAACATCAGTTCCATGCTGCTATGCTAATTCACACCAGCTGAGGTTCTGGGCACCAATCCTTTTATTGTGTCTTGACTTTTCTAGCACGTAGGTTAAGCAACATTTGATAACCATATGCGTAGTGTATTCTGCCAGTAGAATAGGACTTAAAAGGTGGAGTGTGGGAAGAGTGGGAATAATTGCAAATGTGTATTGTTAGACTTTATTGACTTCAGAATGTGGCATAAATACAATGTCAGCTTCTCTATAAAACAAGGCCCCCATGTGGTGTCAAGACACACAGTGAGATCCTGTAAAATAGTAGTAAAGAAGTCTTAAAATTATGTGGATTTAATTTATTGTATTTATTCTGAGGTTGTATCTTAAAAAATTAACAATTCCAAAGTAAACACTGGCAAAGCCAGTGCAGTAAATGCAAGTCTAATGTGTCAGACATCTGAAACATGTTTGAATCTTTATGTTTTTCTTTGGCATCCAGGAACAGGCAGAAAGCTTTTATCGTTTATGCAAGAGGGGAAGACAAAAGAGCTTCTTAGGAACACACCCCTTTTGTGCTAATGCAGTTGAAGTGTAATATAGTTACTGCTGATTATCGTAATTATGCAAGAACTACCCAGGAGAGTGTGTATTCAGAGAATTTCAGCTTCCTTTAGATATTTTGTGATTATTGTGCATCCTTAGAAAATCTGCTAGGGAATGAGCATGAATGATGGTCATTGAAGCAAGTAGAGAGACGTGCATGAAGAGCTGAGACCATTCCAGTGGAAAAGTCAACTGTATAAACAGTGTTGGGCATCTGATTGTGTCGGTCTATTTGTGTGTAGTTGTTTCATCTCTTGCATGTAAAAAAGGGTTACTTTTTAAGTCTAAAAAACCTCACTTGTTTTTAGAACTAAAGATGAATGACATCTTCTGAGTTAAAGGGGGGAGAAGTTATAGTAAATTCAAAAATATTTGTTTCTGCACATTTCTTTTTGGAAGCTTCAAAGTTGTAGAGCCCACTTGCAAAGCTCTGGACTTCAGCAAACTCCATTGTGATGTGAAGTTTAAATGAGGAAATACAGTAACATACCATAGCATGTCCCTTGGGTTGTGGAAAATTACTTCTGTGCTAGTTCTAGTTTAGTTCCTTATTATTTGTAAGCCAATTAATATTATTTACTATATTTAGCTGCTACTTATGTGAATATAAGCAGTTGTGCTTTCATGCTATTATCAAAGCTTTCCATTTCAAAAGCCACTGCTAAATGATCACTTTAATTTCAACATTCATCTAACGCCTATTAATGCAGATACTCTAAACTGTTCCTTAGGTGTGGAAAATGATGACAGCACATTGCTGATTTTGTTACATTTTGATTACACACCTAGAAATAGGAAATAATAAATTTTAATCAACATTGTGTATTAAATAACTTACCTGCAAAATTTGGCTTACTAAATCAATTTATGCTGTTTCACTGCTGATACAGGAATTCTATCTTGGCATCTTCAGTCACTGAAATTACCCTGAAGTCATTGTGTTTTTCTTGGCTAGAGGCTACCTTGGTAAGCAGTGTATTTGCCCAGAAACACACAAGGCTCAGTGCTAGTCTGCTTACTGGAATCATTTCCATATGTATGTGTTACTAGGTATTTCATGTTTTTACACCCAAGTACCCTCCTTACAATATAATGCCCTTTTCCTAATCATTTCTTCATATGGTATAGCCTTAATTCAAGAGGCTATGTAAACACCAGTGTGGACAGACTTCAGTGAGTTTAAGGGGCTGATGGCAGTAGTCTTCCAGTAGAGGGGGTGTGGTGGACATCCTCTGTGCTGTGGGTGTGAAACATCTCAAGTTACTCTGCCATATTTGTCAGCTTAACACCAGCAGGCTGCTCTATCAGCTAGCTGCACTGACACCTTGCTTTGTTATGCTTCTGTGCAGCTTCTACTTCCTCCCTTTATTTAGCAGTTAAGGAGGCTGTTGCTGAAACAGTCAAAAGAGCTTTCTTATCCTACTTCTCCAGTACTATGATCAGTGCATCAAATTCAATGTGTTAATGAGGGTAAATTCAATTTGGTGTCACTTCAGCTGCTGGAGACATTGCAGCGTATCCCTTATAGAGATTAGTATTTAGGCTCCGATCACATATAACCATGCTAACGCATCAGATACTAATGTGGCACTGAGATAGCAATGCTAAAAAGTAGGTTTGCTGATATTAAAATACTGGTTGTTGAAGTCCTATTTATTTCAACTTGTATGTTTTCTGAAATGCCTGAATGTTTTCTGAATGTCAGGTACTGTGCTTCCTTTTCAAATGTTTGCAGGTTGCTACTGCTACAGTTCTACTTTGTTGGAAATAGATTTTAAAAGGTTTCACCTCTATCTTATCTGGAGGAGCAGAAGTTTCCATCTCAAAAGCACCATTTTTTTTTTTCTGATACTTGTTACTAAATGATCTGCTCAAAATTCAGTTCTGAAAAATAAACCCTTCATACCACATTGTCATTGTTGAATTCTGATTGTGAGTTGATTCAACTACAGTTGGTTTCTTTCATTAGAATACATTACTAGATAGACAACACTGTTATATAGACACTGTAGGAGCTGCATATAGATCTTGCAGCTTGTTTGGGCTTTGGAAGCTGTTTCTTTGCTTTCTTTTGGTTTTTTATTCCCCATGCACATGGAGCCTTACACAGTGTGGCTCCGGTTGCCTGTCTAGCGCCTCTGCTGCCTACCATAATACGAGTGGCTGTTCCTGTTATTGCACATATTTGTGGCACAGTATGTAATAAAAGAAAATTATGAATATTTGGCAATAATTACAAGGAACAAGAATGTGCAAACTAAGTCAGGAATAAATATTTCTGTTGGTATGCTGACAATAGCAAGTACTGATGGATATAATTTTGGATGTAAAAACTAAATGTCTATTTTGACATTTACATGAGTAGACTTTTGGATCAAACAGTATTGGATCAAATACTATCAAAGACAAAGACTTTGATGAAAACAGTAATCTGTGGACCAAAATAACCTGCAGACTGCTGTCGTCTCCTAAGAAGCATCAAAAATATGTTTTGATATTGTACTTGTTATTTTGAAAAGTGATTGGAGTATACTACTAAATGAAAATCATTTCTTAGTATTTCTGTGGATCTGTGTTTCTGCCTTGACAGTTGGTGTAATTAGCATCAGTGATGACTGGTCTTTTCCAAGAAACTGCATCTTCCTCAGTTATTTTGTTAAGGCTTATAATCACCTTAAAACTTGCAATACTATATTACAGCATATTCTGCCTCCTTGCTGCATGGTTGCTTGCGGAAGTAAAAATGAAAATAGTTTCATTAAAAGATGTCCTTCTTTATAGGCATTATTAGGTATTGTTAGTAAGCAGCTGGAACGTGCTGGATTTTGTACTAAGATGATTGCACAAAACTATCATGTCTCATATACAGTACTTATTACTATCCTAATCACAAAGAACCAAGAAGAATAGGGTGCTATTGTTCTATGTTTAATGTTAGAAAAACTAACAGATTTTGGAAGAATTTTTACTACTCTGGTGTTCATTATTTCTCTGGTGCTCATTAGGAAACCCTTTCCTATAGCTCACCTTTGGAATGTTTAGGATTTGTACATTTCTGACAGTTGATTTGTGTAGTTGGTCTGGTGACAAATTCTGCATCTCAACTGTTTACCAGTAAAAGTATGATGAAACATACAGCTTTGACATTAAAATACAAATGTAACCTAAAATTCCTTAGTTACTTTTGGTATCTTGGCTATGTTTTTGAACACTTGTTTCATGGGCTTTGCTCATTGCCTTAAGCCCGTATCATTCTTCCCAGACCTCCCATGCTGTTAAGTGTATGGGTAGAATGGTAGCTTCCAAGCAGGTCACTCACCCCTAAAGAAAACACTTTCAGGTCACATCATATAACCTGTATTATAAGAACAGCTATGGGTAAGATTCTAAAAATGAGTATCCTGATCTTTTCACATGGTTTTTTTAAATTTATTTATTTATTGTTTGTGGCATGGGTTTTTTTTTAGATGAGACAGAGGGCTGTTATTATAATAATGCTTTGGTCTCTTTTCTTAATAGATTAAAAAATATTTTGAACTTGAGCCACTTGCACGTGGAAAGCGCTGGATCCTTAAACCGTGCTCCTTGGATGATATGGAAGCAGTAAAAGACAGCTTCTCCCTTCTAATAAACTTGCTAGAAGAGAGAGACTTCGAACCTTCAAGAATGTGAAACCCAAGAGAGAAGAGTGATTCTCCAGGCATCACTGTACCTGAACATTCTGCTCACAGCTTAATTATGGTGTGGTATCATGAGATGGCTGTGATATCTTGTTCATACACAGTTAGTGCAGAATGTCCTTTTGTTAAAATAAATATTCTGTGAATCAGGTACACAACTATTTCCAGTAAAGTTGTCTACACTACTGAAATAGGGAGTTCCTCTTTGTTTACCACTATTTCTGCACACAGCATGTTGCTTTCTTGCATTGTGATCATCCTTAATAGGAAATTTTACACGCACAAAAATAAAATAGTCTGTAAAGGAGGAATTCTACCTGCTACCTTTACTTTTAAAAAATAACTAATGTCTTAAGGATTTGTGAGAGTAGTTTGGTTTAGCCTGTTTACTGTGACTCCACAGTATGCAAAAAGCACAGCCACGTGAGACCCTTAGCAGGATACCTTAAAGGCAAGCAGTTTCACGTAAATGCAAAGGTTAGTCCTGAGGTTTTACTAGGTGAAATCACAGTTGACAAGTTTGTTGATTCCTCTTCTGAAGTCACAGCATAATCTTGTCAAAAGCAGAACCGCTACTTTGCTGAAAGCTTCCTGAAACATAAATTATCACAGATATATGGGGATAATAGTACTTGGCAAAAATAGGTGACATAAACAGGTGGTCTAAGTAATAAAATTTTCATTATTCATATTATTAGTTGAATAAAGTAAAAACTTTCATTGAAAATAGTTTTGTGTAACAGAAGCAAACCAAATGTCTGTTAATTCAGCTGTGGAGAATTTATCTCTAGTTAGAAGTGTGACTGATGTTAAATACGTATTTCTTCTTTTATCAGTCACTTATAGACTACTACTGTTATTGTAATGTTGCCAAGGCATCTATACCATAATTAAGGGCCTTCCAGTGCTTGTACTATAAGCTTCTCTTTTCAGGGGATTATAACTTGTTCTTTCAAACTTCCTCTGGGCTAGATGTTACTTGGAAGACAAAAAAGTATTCATTGGAAACAACATTTGAAATACATTTGGAAAAAAACCATTTGGTTCCAGTAACACAGTGCATATTTCCTCTTTCAAAGTTTTCCCCATTGTAGATTTACAGTTTTTTGGCTGCCTTTTCTTGATACTTTAAAACCTTATAAGGTGATTTTGCCCATTAAAGAAACATGCCAAGTCACTTAATGGTTCACCATTAAGTCAGTCACAACAGGGTACTTGCAGATCAGTCACTGAACTGTTGCACACCTTGAATGTTGTGCCTTGTGCATTTAGCTACCCTCATGCATGAGCATCTGCAAACTCAAACTGTAGTGATGTGTCTTGTCAGTGGTTCCTTATCAATTCTGCTGGTGTTTTGAAACTCGTAACTCCTTTTTTCAGGGCGTTAAGCAGCATATCCTTCCACTCTGAGCGTTTATTTTTTAAGTTTGAAGTTTATTGTAGTTTCTCAGTAGTTTATTTGGGAATAAGAAAATAGCTTTTAAAGGCTTATAAAAGCCATTTTTCTATTTTTGCAGTTATACTCTTTATTAAACAAAATATTTTTAGTAGGTTTTTTGTTTACTTTTCAACTTCCATGAATTTCTTGCATTGCTCAGTCAGAATTTTTTTTGCCCAAATGCATGGCCTGATGATCACTGTTTCAAATTGCTTCCTATTATCAGAAAGAAAACTGGTAAGCTCCTTGTTTAATTTTGTGATAGAATAAGCAGAAAGCCTGAAGGGCATCTCTTCTTGCTTTGTGTTTCTTCTCTTTCCTGCCAAGTCAATTGCTTCACTCCTAATACTTTAGCAAATACCAAGAACTGGAAGTGTTAATTTGAAACACAGAGAGGAGCCCTGTGTTGGTTCAATTTGCTCTGATGAGTTTAGATGGAACCCAGCTGCCCATCAATTTCCCTTATGTGGGTTAAGGAGGTTCGGAGGTTCCTTTCCCTGGATTTAAAGAGGAATTGGATCCAATTTACAGTTCCAAACTCTCTTTTAGCTGACATGAGCTCAGAGGCTACAGAGTCCCCAGATGTCCATAAACATCGCCAGATTTCTGTTCTGTTTAGGGACAATGGCAAATAAGAAGTGTGGGGAGGAGTGGGAGAATTATTTCCCAGAGAAGACCGGCAGTCTGGGGAGGCAAAAAGAGGGATTTAATGCTTTTACTGCTTTTTCATTGAGCATAAGTTAGAAGATGCGATATTTTTTCTTTTTCCTGCTTTTCCCTTTCTTTCCCATATTAAAGTTATGGATCAAGAGGTATAGCAAATGAAAATAAGCCCAACTAGTTCGCATTCTTAAAACCGGACTTACTTGTACCATCAGTGAGTCTGGTCCAAAAACTTCAGAGCTTCCGAGTTATATTTTGGTTGTGATTTCCCAACTATGCACTATCGGAAGGTGCTACATGACTATCATGCAAAAGGTCCAAATAGTCGTTGATAATATGGCTTTGGCATATGCCAGTGCCCGCTTAGACCAGGACCTTTGGATGTTTAATGCTTTTTCTCTAGGAAAATGCCAACTGCACAGGAGCAATGATTTTTTTATTTTTTTTCCCCTAGAATTATTTTGAATATGCCTTTCCTTACTCATACAGCGATCATTCCTCACCACAGGTTGAAACAATACCTCATAACTGCATAAGACTAAGACCAACACTTTACTTTGAATGTAGTGTTGTGGTTTTGTGTTGTGGATGGACTTAATGGATGTGAACCTTTTTAACATCTGCAAACACCTTCACCTTTTTATGGAGGAATAAAAATGTTCGTAGCAGCTCAAGTCACACTTCCCTGTCCTTCTGTCCTTCACCAATCTTAATTGTTTCTTTTAATCTTTCCACATGTTCATCATTTAGGTGAAATAAACTTGGGCACTAGGCCCTACTTTCCATGCAAGTTCATTAAAGAGTGAACATTGTCTTTTTAAAAAAGATAATGTGCTTTAATGTTCTTTAGCCATCTGTTAAAGTACTTTCTGTGTGTATGTGTGTGTATGTGTATGTGCCCACATTGGGCTTCTTCTCAGACTTGTGGCTGTCTGCAGTGTCTCAGCCGTCAGAATGAAAACATTATCAATCAGTATCCAACAACAGCTGGTTTTGACAAGCTTCTGTCTGCTGCCTAATGCTTTACAACTTGTCAGTAAGAACTCTTTGTCTACCCACTTTGAGCTAGTAATACTGCTTCCGTGTTGTGTCCTGTACTTGTACTTCTAGCATTTGTATGGAAAAAAAGTTAAATCTTAGTGGGTTTTGATATTTTTTCTTGCTGTATAATGCTCCATGTGTATCTTAGCTTGCTTCGTCAAATGCGCTATACAAAAATCTGTGATGTATTATTTCATTTAATTTCTCGCATTTCATTATATTTATAGAAGTTGCAGATTTTTGTACCATATTAGTTAATAGAGTTGCCTTTTTGTAATGGCAATTAATTTATATTACAAGAGTTTGTATCTTTACTGTAGTCAAAAGTATTAGTTAACAGCCATATTATCTTGACTTTATACTAAAAATACAGTGTCTATACATGGAAGTTGAGCCATTCAAGTGGACAACTGCTGACATGGGGAAGTTGTACTGTTTGTGATTTATACATGATTTCCACTATCAAAGAAAAAAAAAAAAAAGAAAAAAAAAGAAAATAAACACTGTGTAGAGTTAAGTTGCTAAGTCTGGATTTCTTGAGTAGTAGCCAGCTTGGGAATATGGCATATTACCTTGATTGTCTTGAAGATAAATTATTTAGTCCTAGATGAAAAAAAATTTTACTGTATAATCACTGCTAAATTATGCATAATTACACATTTATACGCACACTATATATATATAAAAAAAAAAATCAGAAACTTCCAAAAATCAGCTGATTTATTTCCACAGCAAGATGTTGTTCCTCTGGAAATTGATCTAAAAGATACTGCAGGTTGATTGGTGGAACAAAGATTGGAATGATTTTTATACAATTACTCAATAATGTTAAACTGAGGGACATACTTACATGACTAGAAATTATTGTTTAATAAAGTGACATAACAAAGTACACGCACAAAAAAAAATAAAAGCTACAGAAGTTGAGCAAAGGAATATACTAATGGAAAAGTAGAAGCTTGCTGAGACAGCTCGATGTTGTCCTATCAAACATTATTTGAGTAGAAGAGACAAACAACGCAAGTTGTAGCTGCTGATGGAAGTACAGCACTGCTGAGCCAGACCGGAGTTGCTGATTCAGCTACTGAGGTATGCTTTTTTCATTTTATTATTTTTAAATGTGCCTCTTGGCAAGTCTAGGATGGAAATGCAAGATTGGTAAACTCAGAGTATTTTTTTCAATTATTTTGTTTCATATAAGTAGGAACGAAAAATCTGCTAATCATGCCTCATTTGATAGCTCTTGAAAGAATTTTCATTAGCTCATTAGCCCTTTGACCTAAATAGTTCAAACAAATAAAAACATCTGTTTGTGTCAGCTATAGGGTTAGTCATCCAGGGCCTAGGTTAACATGAGAAAGAGAGAGTCCCATATTCTATGTGAAAACAAAAAACATACCTTTTTCCATATCTGAGTTGAAAAGACCCCTGAAATCGAGTAGGGCTGCTGAATTCTGCTAGGTGAAGAGACTGAAAAAGATCATTACCATTGTCAATCCTCAGCCCTCTTGGGTGAACTGACTAACTTCATTGTGTGGGTTGGACTGAAGATCAGGTTTAATTTCAGGTCTCAGTTCTGAGACATATATGTTTAATGCTAGCTGCTTATAATGTATTTCAGCTTTTATCAAAGCTGTATTTAGAGAAGTTAAAGTATGCTGTACATATTGCTTTTTCATTCACCAGTTTTCATAAGAAAATGTTACATTTGGTAGTATTCTGGTGGGTTTTGATGGAATATATTTAGGACAACCTCATTTGTGGAGTGTGTGTTTGTGCAGCAAACTCAATCAGCACTACCATTTATGATGTCTCAAATATACTTTAATTTCTTAGTCACAGAAAGTGTC